AAATAATTCCCAGATATAATGGAGAGACCTGCGTCTACCGTGGACTCGAAGTGATCGGTTGCGAATTTTTCCGTGTGGCGTGTTGTATATCTTTACGGGGAAGATAGAGAAGTGGAGAAGGTGGCGGAACGGAAGAAGGAAGAAGAAGAGGAGGAGGCAGAGCGAGAGAAAGAGAGAGAGAGATAGACAGATTAGGTTAGGTTAGGTTGGGTTGAACTCACGTTCCCCCCTCTCATTCCTCCGCTGCGGCACCACGGCGCTCCATCTCACTTCGATGTGCACGCCCGTTTCCATCTGACTTGTGCACGCCTGAGGGACGAGGACGGCATGGCAGAGAGAGAAGAGAGGTAAAGAGTGCGAGGATAGTGCGCGACTGGTGGATCCGAGGAAAAGCGGTAGAAAAATACAAATGCCGATCGCCGATGGAATTTTGGTCGCTGAATCGACCGCGGCGACCCATCACGAATCCCTCAAAGCTGGCATGTTACGCTTCATCGAGAGACTTTCAGGTTAGCGCGAGATTACACGATTGTTACACACGGCTATCTGGCGTTTCGTCGTGCCCGCGTATCCACTCGTGAATTTAATAGATTGCGAATTCGATCGGAAGTACTCGGTGCGCGTTAAAGCTATTGTACACAAATCAATGTATAAAGACGTGTGCCTAAATCAACCAAGTACGAGAAACGCCAGTTACGATCAAAGTTAGTTGGAGTAATATATCTATATGTACTCTCTAAACTTTTAGAATTAATTGTGTGTGTGTCACTCTGAAGAGTGAAATCTCACTCTTAAAGATTGAAAATTGAGCCACTCTTTTTTCAAGACTGGTTCAATTTTCATTCTTTAAAGTGACACACTCCAAAGAAATTTAAAGATATCGTCAAGCTGGTCTACTTTTACATTAAGTTCATTCTTTTTAGCTGAATTTCTTCCACAGTTCATCTCTTTTCTCTTTTTCTCCAAAGAATTTAGAGAGTATTTAAATAATTTTTATCTTATATATATGATTGCACGCTGATTACTTTCTGTCTTGCAATACAAACTAAAATAATAATATTCATGTGTTTAATATAAATATAGAAAAACGGATTAAACCATGAAATCCTCAATACACTTTATTTGACAAAATATGCAATGGACATCTTACCCTTTAAAACTTTTAGAGTGAATCTTACTCTGAAGAGTGAAATCTTACTCTTAAGGATTGGAAATTGAGCCACTCTTTTTCAAGCTGGCTCAATTTTCACTCTTCAAAGTGAGATTCTATTTCGAAGAAATTTAGAGACTATCGTCAAGATATTCTACTTTTACATTAAGTTCGTTCTTCTTTTTAGCTGAACTTCTTGCACAGTTCTTTTCTCTTTTTCTCTCCAGAGAGAGAAGTTCAGTTGAAAAGAATAGGCCTGTTCTCGAGATTAGATCAGTGTACAACGACTTTAATATGCACTAGTGCACACTAGTGCATGCAACCGAATTCGCTATTACTCGGCACGAAGTGTCGCATAGTATCGTGTCGCGACAGTTTCGCACGAACGTTTCCATTCTCGAGGGCCCCCCCTCAGATCAGACGAAACGGTCTTTCTCTCGACTTCCACCAACACGACGGAGGTGTCGTCTGATCTTACGTGTCTGGAATTTTTGTCCTCGGAATGTTTACAACTTTTTATACGCACCTCTCAAATATGCAGCCCTTTATTGTTACCCATATAACACAGAAGCTTGCAGCAACGTTTTTATAAACGTAGATCATAATCTTTCTCTAATACCTTCATTTCTACCAACGTAGTTTAATTTTAATCTTGGTTCAACTAACTGTTCATCTTTTTCTAGTTCTAAGTATTAGAAAAAGGTAAAGAATAAGTAGAATCGAGATTAAAGTTAATCCACATTGGTGGAAACGGAATAAAAAGAACAGGTCTATTGCTAGAATGTTGTAATATTTCTACAATATTGTTGGAACGTTGCAAATGTTGCTGTAATATTGCTGGAATGTGTGCAATTTGTGTTGTATGAATAAGATGTCTGACTCTTCCCACATTAACTCGAATATATGCTTTAAAAAAATCAAGTATAATCAAGTACAATCACCAGGGAACGCATAGTAATATTATGTCGTAGAAGTAGAAAAAGCGTCTCAAGATCGCTCATATATCTTTATCGTTTTTAAAAAAACGCATTTTTAGCTGTCGTCAACGATAGCTCGAAGATTGTCCAGAGGTACGTTATTATAAATGCCACGTCCAGAAATACGTTATTATAATCTCTCAATGAAATTTACAAGTATCGGTACGCAAGAAGTACAATCTACCGCGCGGTGTTAAATGTAAATGTATGTAGCCAGCGGAGTAGACAGAATAAAAAAGACAAGACGGTAGACGACGACGCTGTAGAGACTTGTGCGAAACGGTGTATTCCCATACGTCTAACGATCATTTCTTTTTCTTCGACCTTCCTTACTCCTTGGATATTCGCGATATAACGCGTCATCGTCGCGTTTTACCGAGTTTCACTAAACTGTCCTGACATTCTTTAAAAGTGACCATAAAATAATAATTGCATGAGATTGTGTTTGTTCATCGCGATGGCATGACTTATCGTGCTTATCAGAATCCGTATTTTTTTATACATTATCGTTCAGTATGAGTCATACCTATAGGTATAAATTTATAAGAGTTAATTATTTTTATATTTTTGCTCTTTTTACTTATATTACTTAAGTAATATTTTTGTGTCAGTATGTATATAGTATGTAAAAAAATATCAATAATTTAAGAGAATATACGTATAACATACCTGGCATAAAAAGTCTAAAGTGAATTTTTTAATTTTCTCGAGATTACTTATCAATGTGAATCTTGATGAAGCGATATATGCAGTTTGTTTGTACACTTCATCGGTTTATTCATCTATTCTGTGCATTAATGATTTTTAAAAATAAAATTAACTTTCAGTTAAAAAAAATGATATATATTTAACTCAAGAACTAAAAATTAGATGGAAAAATGTGTAAAAAGAAATATTCAGATCAGTATAAATCGGTGAATGCAAATGTTTGTAGCAATAAAGTATTCACGATGTCTATTTTTTTGTATATGTGGGAAAAAATTGGAATCTTAAATGTGATATTCACATCACTTAACGTAATACGAGTTTTAATTCCTGCTTAAGTTAATTTTTTCAGCCAAAAGTAATTCAGTACACGAAATTCCAACAGTTAGTGAATAATATCATTTAGAGAGTATAGTAAATTAAAAATAACGCACATCCCAAAAGATATAAAAAACTATGACATATAAAATTGATATCTGAAAACAATAAAAGACATGTATATATTATTATTTCTTTCTAATAATCCTTTTTAAAATATTCTAACATTACACAAGATTAACTCAGTAGTGAAAATAGAACATAATATTTTACTCTGACATGCGAACAATAATTTGAAATTTTTACAAATATATCTAAAACTATCCCCGATGAATTATTATCATATATGCTCATTGCTGGCTTTAATTTATATTAAAAAATTACGCGAAGTAATTGCATGAAGAGAACCTTGTTAAATTATTTAAATCTGCGCGTTTTAGACTAAAATAGGTAAAACACAAGAGACAATGTGTATTTCTGATTCTAATAAAAAGAAATTAGAGAGACGTGTATTTATATGTCGTATTTATATGCCAACGTAAGATCAAAAAGAATTAAGATATAGAGAGCATTGAAAAAGAGATAATAATTACGATAAGCGATTGTAGAAAGTAAATTGCGAAGTACAGTAAATTAATATTTATTTCGGGGAGGTGTTAGTTTTACTTTTTATCACACAATTGAAATGAAATTGATCATTGCCTTCGAATAATATTTATAATTTTCAAATCTTATTGGTTTAAATTTCACTAAACTTTCGACGAAACTTGCATATCCATGTGTATATCCATAGATAAATATATCACTCTTATGGTGTTACAATGTTTCGTCATTTGATTAGTCTTGTTTGAAAAAATATTTTTGAAAAATTAGAAAAATTAATCACCATGATAGCGTTAATTTGTACATATGGACGATATAACAATTTTCTAATTTAATAATTGTGAACGTTTTCTTTAACATTATACCAAACATTTCTAAAAGTAGGTAATAGAATTTTGAGACAATCAAAAGCAAAATTTGTTTCAAAATTAAAAATTTTTTATTTAAAATTATGTTCGAGGAAATTTGAATTTTAATATGAATTCTTTGAAAATTAAAAAAAGTCAACGTTCTTTAATAGACGGTCTAATTTGCTCAAAAGATAATGTAACAATTTTACAGTATCTATAACATTAATCGGAAATCTACATTCTTATCCGTGCAATATCGCGTAGATATCGCATAGATAAGAATGTAGATTTCTGATTAAATGTTAGATAATAAGATAGTGACGTAAAACTGTTATATATTATATTAACACAATAATAAATATCGTTACCTTTTGAGCAAATTAGAACGTCTACTGAAGAACGTTGACTTTTTTTTAATTTTCAAAGAATACATATAAAAATTCACATTTCTTCAAACGTAATTTTAAATAAAAAATTTTAGATCTTGAAACAAATCGCAAAACTTTTTAATGTTTCAAAATTCTATTATTTTTAGAAATGATCGGTATAATGTTAAAGAAAAACATTCAAAATTATGAGATTGTTATCTATAACGTCTATGTACAGAATACAGAATGAACTGAAATAATAATGCTAAAATATTTCAAGATCTATAAAATGATTTGATATCTCTTAAACCCATCGTTAAAATCTTATTTTTAAAACTTTATTTCTTGTTTTTGCTCTCTTCTCTCTTTTTATATCATTTTTTATATTTGTAAATTTCAATATAAATATACTTATTTTATATATTTTAAATATTATAAATTTTTATGTATTTTTTAAAATATTCTTATTCTCTCTTTGACTTAAACTTGGATAAACTTAGACTTAAACTTAGACTTGCCTAAAATAATATTAAAATATTTAAAATAAGATTGTGATCCAAATTTATAAGCTAATTTATCAACTTAATGAAATATCGTGTAAGTTTTGCTTTTCAATTCTCATGATTATTTTATGCACAGTATAATTAATAATGCTACTAAAAATACATATAATACATCCAAATATATGTACAAATATATCTATGCTAATTTATGAAAATTTGCCGCATATATTTTCACTGTAATGTGATAAAATTGCGTTACGGATTTCATTAAGCTTATTTTTGTATTGATATAACATATAATAGTATTAAAGTTATTAAATTTTAGGGATGTTCAATATTGTGTCAATTACATATTTGAAATATTTATAAATATACGATCAAATGTTCTTCTTTTTCTCAGTTCCGCATCTCCTATAAATGCAATATTCTACCTTATTTCCATTCAGTCACGCAAACAACTTACCAATTTTTACAATTAAATTACTTGCATAAAAAGATAAAATACTGATTAATTTTATATTTTATTTATCTTTTT